ATGAGAGTGCGTGATGAGGATATCCAGAAGACGGCGTTCAGGACTCGTTATGGGCATTACGAGTTCGTGGTGATGCCTTTCGGGCTCACCAATGCACCAGCAGCGTTCATGGATCTCATGAACAGGGTGTGCAGACCGATGTTGGATCGTTCAGTGATCAGTGTTCATCGACGATATTCTGGTGTATTCGAGGTCTAGAGAGCAGCATGAGGAGCATTTGAGGGAGATCCTCGGGGTTTTGAGATCGGAGAGGCTGTACGCCAAATTCTCCAAGTGTGAGTTCTGGTTACGGGAGGTCCAGTTCTTGGGGCATCTCGTCAACCAGAATGGGATTTTGGTCGATCCGGCCAAGATTGAGGCGGTTATGAGGTGGGAGGTGCCAAGATCACCCACCGAGATCAGGAGCTTTCTAGGATTGGCCGGCTACTATAGGAGATTTATCAGAGATTTCTCCAAGATCGCCGTGCCTCTCACCAGGTTGACCCGGAAGGGTGTTGCTTTTTCATGGGGTCCGGAGCAGCAGACCTCGTTTGAGACACTTCGCCAGAAGTTATGCGAAGCCCCGTGTTAGCCCTCCCAGAAGGGATGGAGGATTTTGTGGTGTATTGTGACGCATCGATATCGGGGTTGGGTGCGGTGCTTATGCAGAGGGGGCATGTGATAGCGTATGCATCGAGGCAGCTGAAGCCTCATGAGACGAGGTATCCCACCCACGATCTGGAGTTGGGGGCAATGGTGTTCGCCCTCAAGATCTGGCGATATTATCTGTATGGGGTTCGGTTTAACATATACACGGACCATAAGAGTTTGAAGTATCTGATGGATCAGCCCAACCTGAATATGCGCCAGAGGAGATGGTTGGACGTGGTAAAGGATTACGATTGTGAGATCCTGTACCACCCGGGCAAAGCTAATGTTGTAGCTGATGCGCTGAGTCGTAGGGCGGAGAGTGCCCCGATTTGAGACACTTGTATGCGATTGACAGTGATGACTCCGGTGTTGGACACCATTCGGGAGGCCCAGGCAGAGGCCGTGAGACCGGAGAACCGCAAGAGAGAGCGGGTGATTGGGCAGGTGCCTGAGTTTGTTACCGATAGTCGTGAGCTTATGACCTTTTAGGGTCGAATTTAGGTGTCGTATGCAGGCGGGACGCGTACCACTTTGATGGAGGAGGCTCACCGATAGAGGTTCTCGATCCATCCCGGGGCCACTAAGATGTATTTGGACCTGAAGAAGGACTATTGGTGGCCCTGTATGAAGAGGGATGTAGCATGGTTTGTTGAGAGGTGCTTGACCTGTCGTAGGGTTAAGGCCGAGCACCAGCGTCCGCATGGCAAGTTGCAGCCACTTGAGGTTCCCCAATGGAAGTGGGAACAGATTTCCATGGATTTCCTCACCAAATTGCCGAGGACCGCGAGGGGTGTCGATGCAATTTGGGTGATCGTCGACCGGCTGACGGAGAGCGCGCATTTTCTTGCTATCAGTGAGAGCTCTTCTGCTGAGAGGTTGGCAGAGTTATATGTGAGGGAGGTGGTATCGCGGCATGGAGTGCCGATCTCGATTGTGTCAGACCGAGATGTACGTTTCACTTCCAGGTTCTGGAAGAAGTTCCACGAGGAGTTGGGTACGAGGTTGCATTTCAGTACCGCCTACCACCCCCAGACGGAAGGACAGAATGAGCGGACGATTCAGACGCTCGAGGACATGCTCCGAGCATGTGTGTTGGACTTCGGAGGAAGTTGGGACACGTATCTGCCGTTGGCTGAGTTTTCCTACAACAACAGCCACCATTCGAGTATTGGCATGCCTCCCTTCGAGCTGTTGTATGGGAGGAGGTGTCGGACTCCCATTTGCTGGGGAGAGGTAGGGCAGCGTGTGATGGGTAGCACTGAGATAGTGCTTCAGACGACAGAGCAGATACAGCAGGTTAGACAGAGGTTATTGACAGCTCAGAGTCGTCAGAAGAGTTATGCGGATAGGCGACGATCCGAGCTTGAGTTCCAGGTGGGAGATGTCGTACTCCTGAAAGTGTCTCCTTGGAAAGGAGTGATCCGATTCAGGAGAAGGGGCAAGCTGGGGCCCCGATACATCGGTCCGTTCAGGGTGACCGCGAGGGTGGGCAGGGTAGCATATCGGTTGGTGCTACCTGCGGAGTTGAGCCAGATTCATGATACCTTCCACGTGTCTCAGTTAAGGAAGTGTATAGCCGACGAGTCGGTGGTGGTGCCATTGGGAGATATTCAGGTGGATACGAGCCTGAATTATGTTGAGTGGCCGGTGGCGATTATGGATCGGAAGATCAAGGTTCTGAGGAACAAAGAGGTGCCCCTGGTGCAGGTCCAGTGGCAACATCGGAGAGGGTCCGAGCTGACTTGGGAGCCGGAGTTGGAGATGCGGGAGCAGCATCCAGAGTTGTTTGCGGAGCAAAACTTCGAGGGCGAAGTCTGATTCTAGCGGGGGAGAATTGTAACATCCGGATTCCCAGGTATCTTATTTTAAGTTTTTATCTTGAGTTTTAGGGAGGGACTCGGTGAGTAGGCGCTCAGACTCGCCGACTAGGATCGCGCATTTCTTGTCTGATTTAATGAAGGACTCGACGAGTCGGTACGTGGACTCGGCGAGTCCGCGCTGTTAAGTGAAACCCTAAATCCACGGGCCTGAGCCCTATTTAAAGGCCTTTATGGCCTCCATTTGCGGCCACTTCATCCCAGAGAAACCCTAGAGAGAGCAGTAGGAGAGTTGAGAGCAAGAAGAGGCTAATACATCACTTTTGGTGTGGTTTTGCTAGAAGGAATAAGGAAACACCCATCTAGAGCGTGAAGGGAGCTTGGATCTGGGCTAATCATCTTGAGAGTTCATCTCTGGAGGTATAATCCTTTCTATTTCATGTTGATATGATAGATTTCATGATTTTAGGGTTTTTACCTCCATTTTATGTAAGATCTAGTGAGTATGAGGTCCCCTTTTGTGTTGATAGCATCAGATCTGGACCATGAGAGGTCCATAGAGTCACTATCCCTCAGCTTTATGCAAGCAAATGGGAGATTGGGGACTAGGTTGCCATTTTTAGAGTTATTTCACCATTTGGCTTGATGTGGGTTGCATGCACGTAAAGGTGCAACCTTTACGTGACATTTGAACATTTGAAGGGTAGATCTGATAGTTAGGGAAGCAGATCTGATCTTAGAAGGTCATTTGAGTATGAACATGGAAGCAACTCGCCGAGTCCATAAGTGGACTCAACGAGTCGAGTCGGGGTTGCCCCGTGATTCGTGACAGGTGTAACCCATCGAGTGGAAGGATGACTCGACGAGCCAAGAGAGACTGAAAGGATTTAGAGGACCCGGGAAGCCGAGTCGCCTTCAAGAGTCGGGTCAGGGTACTTTCGTTGAATGGTCTTCTACCCAATCTTTAGGAATGAGACTTTGAGAGAATATTGATCAGGGATGTTATTTGAATAATAGGAGGAGGCTAAGTCGGGACGTTGAGCACGAGAGTTTATCCGACTTCATTGAGGTGAGTCTTCTCACTATACTGTACCTGGAAGGGTACCTATGTGTGACCAGAAGGTCTTGTATGCTATGATGTATGTGCTATATGCGGTTATGTGATATGTATGTGCTATGTATGTTATGTATGGTAAGGACCGGAAGGTCAGGTTGATATGGACCGGAAGGTTAGGAGGTTAAGGACCGGAAGGTCGATACGGGTAGGACCGGAAGGTCTACCAGGATTCGGGACGGAAGTCCCCTGAGACACATGGATCGGAAGATCCTACAGAGTTATGGCCTGGAAAGGCGTATGTATGGTATGTGGTATTTTGGGGAACTCACTAAGCATTTATGCTTACAGTTGTTGTGTTATGTGTTTCAGGTACTAGCGAGGATCGCGGGAAGGCGCCGGCATGATCCGTACACACTTATAGAGTTTATGTTATTGAGATTCTGGGACATGTTTTGTTATGACACAGTGGATACATTATGTTTTTGTGATTATTGTGTGATTGAAAATATGATTTAAAAATGAAAAATTGTTTTGAAAATTACGTCGTTACAGTTTTTCAGTTTCATCGTCCTCCCAATCAAACTGCGGGGATGTTAGAGGGCTTTAGGGTTTAGGCCTAAGGCTTTTAGGGTTTAGATTTTATCTATATATTCGTATGTAATCTCCATTTGAGCATCAATCAATTATATCAATCTATTCTATTATCTTACAGATATGACTATTACAAACAAGAAAAAAAAAGAAATGAATTGCGTTAATGTGATCTTATTAGAAGAAGCAAATGCATGGTCACTGAAGATCATCTACAATCGTCGTTATCATCCTTCAATAGAGGCTAGTTCGCACTATGGCAACATTTACATTGCAAGTTGCATGTTGATTTACTTGTTAATAAGAACTTGTTTTTATAGTTATTCACTAAAATGATCAGGGAATATGATCATTTAATGTCGGGTTGCTTGTCCGTGCATGAACAAAAACTTGTATAGTTATTCATTAAAATGATCACAAAAGATGATCATTTTAAGCCGTTTGTTTTTATTTTCTATAACTAAATAAAAAATACAAAACAAACTAGAATATTATTTATTCGAGAAAGCATGAGAGATGTAAATTATACAAAACACATTTAGGCTTCTAGAAGATAATCAAAGTTATAATCCATGGAATCAGTTTTCTTAAAGGGTTCTAGAAACTCAATTTCAATCTTCTCAACCCGAGAATTTCCAGTTCCGTGATGCTCAGAACGTAGAATCTGACAGTTCTAGTTACGACCCCTCTCCCAAAAGAAACGAAGAAGAAAACAATGAGGAGCTGCAACCCGTTGCTGAGAAAAACGCAACTATACACACTACAAGAAGCGAAAGAACTTGGTGGAATGCAAAGAGTTGGCTTTGGCTAGGGCATATGTCAATGTTTCTAAAGATAATCAATGCGGAAATAAACAAAGGTTCGATGTATTTTGGGATAGGGTTCTAGAGCATTTTAGTATTCAAATGGGAGGTTTGGATCGGTCACGACACCAAGTAAACTCAAAATGGAAAGACCTCCAAAAGAAATGCAACGCTTTCAACAGCATCTATAACCATAAGATGAACAGTGTGGCTAGCGGGAGATCTGAGGCTGATGTTTTACAATCTTCACTAAGCGAGTATCGGTGGACTATTAATTAGAAATATTTTCCTCATTAGCAAGCTTGGGAGTGGTTGAAAGACAACGTGAAATGGGAATTGGTTATAAAATCTGATGAAGACTCATTGTCTCCTTTTTCAAAACGAACCAAAACATCTTCTTCCAACGCCTACACATCATCTTCCGATCCACAATATCCTCCTGGATTCTCCCCCCAACAACAACAATCATTTAGTGTTGAAAACTCACCGCCTCAAAGAAAAAGAAAAGGAAAGAAAGTGGCGTCAACATCATCAACAGAAAATGAAATGTTTGATCTCATCAAACAAATTGATGACATCAAGACTGCAACCGAAACAGAGGCGGAATAGAGACAAGGGTACCGGGAACAAAAATTGTGCATTCTTGAAACTAATAAAGAACGGAAAGCTCAATTGTTGGACCGAGAGATAAAGAACCAAGATATGAAGTATTTTCTCCGACCACGTGATCATTTGACTGGAGGTATTTTGCGCATGGTGCTTGAAAGGAAATAACAAATTGCAACTAAGTATGGTTGGGAGTTGGCAAACCCGTGAAATTCAAAATGCCGACATTATTCGACTGGAGTCCTTTTCTTTATTATTATTATTTCATTTTTATTTCCTTTTTATTTTTATTTTTATTTTTATTTTTCTTTTCTTTTTATTTTTCTTTTTATTAATACTCTCTATATGTATCCTTGTTTCATTATCTATATATATTTATGCTTGTTTCGTTATAAATATATATATAGATATATATATATATATATATATATATAGATATATATATAGATATATATATATATATATATATGTTTGTTTCATTTTCTCTCTATCTTTTCTCTCTTTTCAAAATGAATCCAAATATTCGGAAAATAGTCATGGAAGTTAACGATGATAGTTCATCATCTGATGACGAACTTATCAACAAAAATTTGTTAACGGTATTGTCTCGTACTACACAACTTCTTCTTCAGAATGATGCTAGTTCAAGCAATATTCAAAGGAGAAACACGATCCATAGAGATCGTTTAGAGGTTGAACGAATGTTGATCCGACATTATTTTGCAAATGATTTAACCTATGGTCACGCGCAATTCCGCAGAAGGTTTTGTATAAGAAAAGGTTTGTTTATGCGACTTGTTGGTGACATGGAGACGAATTATCCTTATTTTCAAACAACATGGGATGCAACAAATCAAAGAAGTTTCAGTGCGCTACAAAAATGCACATCAACAATACGTCAATTAGCGAAGGGTTATAACCCAAGCTCGTTAGATGAGTATCTGAATATGTCAGAAAGAACTTCTCGTGAAGCTCTTGAAAACTTTTGCTACGGTGTTGTCCAAATGTATAAGGCTGAATATTTACGCCGTCCAACATCCAATGACATTCAACTTTTGTATGAAGCACATGAAGCTACATATGGATTCCCTGTAATGTTTGGTAGCATTGACTGCACACATTGGAATTGGAGGAATTGTCCGACAAAATTGAGAGGCCAATACATGAGGGGTGACCATCAGTATCCATCAATGATACTAGAAGCGGTGACGTCACAAGATTTGTGGTTTTGGCATGCATTTTATTGTGTAGCCGGTTCGAATATCATGGAACAGGACCTGATTGTTCATTTTATCTGAATGATGAACACTACAAACATGGTTACTATCTTTTGGATGGAATATATCCATCATGGGTTGTAATTGTGAAAGCATATATATATCCAGTAACCGACAAAAAGATATGGTTCAAGTCGGCACAAGAATTAGCAATAAAGGACGTAGAACGTGCTTTTAGGGTCCTTAAAGGACGTTGGGACATATTAAAAATGACTACATAGGCTATGACGGTGAAGAAAACAAAAAATATAATGTACGTTTGTATTATACTGCACAATATGATATTGAAAGATGATGGTGTTGCGATATCTCCTCCCTGTGTATCAACCGACCCCCCCCCCCCCCCCCCCCCCCCCCCCCCCGACGAAATCGATGACCAAGAAATAGTACATGAATTGCACAATGTTGAAACCCGCCACCAGCTTCAATCTGATCTTATTGATCACATTGAACATGTCTACATTCTAACTCTGGATAATAACTAGTTAATTTTAATTATCGTTTTAGAATTTAAATTATGTTGTCTTTTTAAGTGTATTTATTTAATTATTGTGCATTTTTTTTGTAGTGTGGTTTTTTAATTAAATCTTATTTTTAATATTATTTTAGATTTTTTTTTTGTTTTAATTTAGCAAAATTTTATTTTTAAATGAAAAAAAATATTATGTTTTATTTTATTTAATATTTTTCCAATTTAATGAAATAAAAAAGAAGATGCGAAAAGTAGGTTGAATGAGTTAGAAAATATAAGATTTTTATATGTTGTGTGTTGAAAAAGATAGAAAATGCAGAAAATCAAAAAAACTGATGTGATAGTGGGTTGGGAGGGAAGGACTCTCTTCTCCCTTAAAGATAGTCATTATATGTGATAATGAGTTGGGAGGGAAGGACTCCCTTCTCCCTTAGAGATAGTCATTATATATGATAAATCTCATCATCGCCTGCATTGGCTTCTTCGAATATATATATGTTTTGTATTGTATTGGTTGTTTGTCATGAACCTCAACATCGATTTTATATATAAAAGAACCGCCTTTTGCAAGTAATTAGTGTGCGTATTCGCAGAAAATTTCAAAAAATCCGATTTGATGTAAAATGGTCAACGAGGAATAAACTCCACTAGCAAGAACATAGCATGTTTATTTTGAAAAAAAAATGACATCGCTAATTTGCAGTCGTTATTTAGCGAGATTCATAACTGTTGTTTGATAAAAGGGAAATCTTCAGAAAAGTCCTAAAATTTTACCCTAATTTACGAAAAAGTCTCAAACTAAAATTTGTTTACGAAAAAGCATGAATTACCGGTAAAAATGGCGATTTGACCCCCTTTTTTCCGGTTTACCGATTTTATTACTTACATGTTTCACTAAAGTCCCATTATTTTACCCTAATTTGCGAATAAGTCCCAAAATAAAATTTACTAATGATTTAGCCATTTTCTTCATTTAACATACATTTTATCGGTTTCATTGCTGACTTAGACACCTAGTCATTAAATTAGCTGATAAGATGAATACGATGGGTTATATAATGTCACATTTACTTTAAAATTTGATACTCATCTCATCGGCTCATTTATGACTATGTATCTACGTCAGCAATGAAACCAATAAAATGTGTGTTTCCAAGAAAAAATGACAGAAAATGAGTTGATGTCTGATGAGATGGATATATTGGGTTATATAAGATTAGATAGACAATTTGATATTTCTTATAAATGTAAAAAATAACGCAGTTGTTGTTAGTTTGTGTAATTATTGTAGTCTTCGTTGGATGCATTTTATGTTCCAAAAAGATATACAATACATCAGGATATCAAGTTTTATGCTAAACATAGCATTATATAACTCAACATATCCATCTCATCATCTCATTTAATGATTAGGTGTCCGGGTCAACAATGAAACTGGTAACATATATGTTACATAGAGAAAATGGCCAAATCATCAGTAAATTTTATTTTGGGACTTATTCGCAAATTATGGTAAAATAATGGGACTTTAGTGAAACAGGTAAGTAATAAAAGCGGTAAACCAGAAAAAAAGTGTCAAATCGTCATTTTCACCGGTAATTCATGTTTTTTTGTAAACAAAATTTAGTTTGGGACTTTTTCATAAATTAGGGTAAAATTTTAAAACTTTTCTAAAGATTTCCCTCTATAGAAAGTTTTAAAATGATTATCTTGAAGAATAACCCTTATTAAACTAAACGGTATGTTAGTTTTTACTAATTAATAGATTATTCACTGAAATGCCCAATAAACGCAAAAGGCCAAGTAGGCGTACAAGGCCCGTTTGTTAACCAGAGGCCAGAAACCCAGAAGCTTACCAAAGCCTAGAAGCCCATAAGAAATAATGAGACTGGGTTTCCTGGCTAATATGAACAGACAACACAAACAGGACTTAACTCCCACAAAACCATAATAACTAATTGTAGCAAAAATGCAAAATAATTATCACAACTTATAAAAACCGAAGTATTTCTAAATTTTTTAATAAAAGTAAAAAATGAGAACTTATTTTATTTTTCTAAAAACTGAAAAAGAAAACTGGTTTTCCATAACTAAACGCAACCTTATATTCATGGAAAATGCAGGTCGTGTTTAGTTACGCAAAAATAAATTTCACTTTTCAACAAATTGAAACAAGAATTTATTCAGTTTTCAGTAAAAAAAAAATTTAGAGAACGCATTTAGTTAAAATTTATTTATTTATTGTTTTTTGTTTCACAAAATTAAAAAACGTATTTAGATGTGTATTTTTCTACGTTTTTCATTTTTAGAAAACAGTTGTGGTAGGGAGTGGTGGCGGAAAACAATAATTATCGGTTTTTTAAAACTTTTATGAAAATTTTAGAAAAATTATTGAACAAAACACATTTTCAAAATTTTCATTTATTTCTTAGAAAAAAATTTCCGCACAACAGCTCATATTTCCATAGCTAAACGCACCCTTAGTGTTTTTATATTTTGCATTCTTTTTCAAGAACAATGGTTTTACAAAAGGAACCTCAAATGACCATGGTCATGAGTGGACAAGCTTCATAGATTAATTTTCAATAACCAAAAAGAGAAAGGGCATTCCTGTGTTTTGTTCTCCTCTAAAGCAAATCTATGTTCCTTTTTATAAGAAAAAAAAAATTACAGTTTTTGTACTACATTATAGTCTTAGTCAAAGATATTATCATTTGTTTTGTATTGTATAACAAACAGGGTCTTTAGGCAAAACATTTTATACTGTATTTGGTATGCATTGAACCGTCAACAAGACAGACTCACTCAAAAAGATGTATTTGGCAAAAGACTCTTCATAATGAGCTGATTAAACGAGATTAACCCAAAGATGAGTTTTCTTTCTTTTTATTTTCTAAAATGTAAAAATTACCAACAAAATGCAATAGAAAAAATAGTTTTCCCTAAAATTTACCAAAGAAATTGAGTGTATACAAAAGAACATCAAGAAGTACCCAAATCAAGAATTTTAACCCTTAACCTTCAACCCACGTTTGTTATACCACACACCATTTCTCTCCCCATTCATTTGACTTTTCGCAGCAATCAAACATTGGTCAACCCTTCCACCTTTACTTTCAATCTCTTTCTGTAGCTTCTGTCTCCTCATTCTATTTTCTGCCCGTAATCCCCTCAAAGCCGCTGCCCGTTTCTCTCTTTCCAATGCCCGAGAAAAATCCCAAATCCTCACCGAACCCTCCTCCCCACCACACACAATCCGGTCAGCCCCAATGCTGACCGAAAACACACTCTTCCCCAACCCATTCAACATTCTTTGTGGTGGCTCAACACTCAAAGCTTTCCGACTTCTATTCGGTTTCATCGCCCGAATTCCCTTCAAAAGCTTCCGAACATCAATCAATGAAAGCTTCCCATCTCCGGAACCGGAAACCAGCCACGGGAATTCAAACGAGAGGGAATGAACCGGGGCGGAATGTGGATTCCATGTCGCAATCGGCCGCCATGACTTAACACGATCGGTTATAACCTCGAACATGTGAATCGCGCCGTCTTCGCCTCCGGTGAACACGAAACTTCCCGTGTGACTTCGGGCAAGGGAATACGCGTTTCCGACGTGCGTGTCTTTGAATACATCGATAAGCGAACCGGAATTCGTTTCCCAAATGTATGAATCGGACCCCGCTGTGCTTACAACTGTCGTGTCATGTGGGACCAATGCCCATACCCAATCGTTATGCAACAAAATTGTTAAACATTTTAGCGATACACGATCGTAAATCCGTATTGTCATGTCCCAAGAACCGCTGTAAATTCTCATAAGATCCAATGAAAGGCAAGTTATCGGACCTTGATGTTCCCAAAGTCGGAATTCCTGATTCCGATTCCGATTCCGATTCTGATTCCGATTCCGATCCTGATCTTGAGAACCGTTTATGTCAAAAAGACGGGGGTGTCCTTCTTCGGCTCGCCAACCGTGGATAAAACCGTCGGAACCGCCGGCAACCAAGAGCTTGGAATCAGCGGAAAGGGCACGGATGGTGCATCCGAGAGGGCGGGAGGCGGAAATGCAGATTCCGTCTTCCATATCCCACATTCGAACAACGGAATCATAACCCGAAGTGAAGATGAGCTTTCTAGAAGGTAAAAGAAAAACGGTTCTTACAGTTTCGGTATGTCCATAAAGAATCTCGACATTGTAATGTCCCATAAATGTCTTACTATGGAATTCACGTTCCACGAAAAGTTCTTTCCATGACTTCTCGCCGGAAAACTCGGCCACCGAGCGGCTGGTGGCGGTGCCGGCCGGAAGCCCCCACCTCTCGCAGTAAAACTGCTTCCAGACGTGGTGGTCGGATGCAATCTGGTATAAAGATGGATTTACACAGGATACAACACCGAGTTCTTTTGGGTCGAGGCAGTTGAAGATTTCAGAGATTAATGCAGGTGGAAGGTCGGTGATTGTTCTATGAACAGGTGATTTAGTGGTTATGACCCGATTGTAGTTTGGTTTTCCAGAATCGGTGATTTGGGTTTCTGAATCAACGAGCAAAATCTTTTCAGATGAAAGAATATGATTTGAATTAACTTCTGTAGTAGTATCTTCTGAATAAATCTCTGTGCTTAATTTGGATTCAAATGCCATAAAATATCCCCCCTAATGCTACACAAATCAACAAATTAATCGTCAAAAACAATTCTAATTCAATCAAAACACCATGTAAAATAACAACACACTCGGAATTCCAATTCAGGGAAAAGACAATTATGTCAAAATTTATATCAAGTTAGTGTGGCAATGTTGACGATTATCATTCAAATTACAAGATCCAATCTAAAAAATTGTGGGTGCAGCAGTTTTTTCTTCGAACCTATTAAGAACCCTAATACCCAAACTTATATATTTACGATTAAGAACCAAATACAACAAGAAGGTTAGATTACAAAAAGCATCGATATGATTTGTATTGCTATATAGCGATAATCATCAAACAGCAAACAATAAACAAAGACAAACTCACATAAAGGGATTTAATTTGAATTGAGTATCGATAAATTAAGAGAAAATTTCGAAAGTTACCTGAGAAAAAAAATTAGGGTTATGACGGAAGAAGAATGAGGAAGAAGGAAACGAAAGGGGGGATGGGGATCTAACGCGATAGCAAACAGATTTGGAATGAGGTTTGAATTAAAGAGAGAAAAGTGTGGAGGTAATAAGTTCCAAGCGTAAAGGAAGGTCGGTAAATAGATTTAGAATAGCATGTTCCACAATCATGGTGAAAGACCAAAGAGCCCTTGGAAATTGGAAACTTTTTGATTTATTTTTAAGAGATGTAAGAAATGATAATATAGATTTTTCTCGTTTGGTTTGTTATGGTATTAAAACTTTAATTTATTTTTATTTTACTATATTCTTATAGAGAAATTATGCAATGCATAGTATGTTAATCATTTTATGTAGGGGTGTGTATGGGACGGTTTGGTTCGGTTATTGGGTAAAACAGAATCATACCCATTACAATTGGTTAATGTATTTCGATAACCATTGGGTAGTAGTTAATATGGGTTTTGGTTAACAGTTTTAGTTGGTTAATGATTATGGTTAATAGTTAATATAGGTTAACCAAAATGATCAATATGATATAAAAATAAAAATATTTTTCTTTAAAAATTGAAAAACACAAAGTCTATCGTTATAAAAATAAATAAGTGTGTATATATAATTTCCTATCTTACTCCAAATAATTACCCTTTAAATTTTCAACTTCTAATATAATTACATACCATATATTTAATATTATATTATATTAAAAACATTTATTAATATTATTAGTTAGGTTCAATTTATAATGATTCGGTTTTTGGATGAGAATCATAACCGAACCATATGTATTCGGTTAATCAAAATTAGAAACCGAACTATATCTTTTAGTAATGGATCAGTTAAAATCGTTCGGTTATATCGGTTAATTTGGTTATGGTTTGATTTTTCGGTTAATATGCTCACCCCTAATTTTATGAGAATATCTCATTGTTTCAAATATAGATAATTAAAATACAGTGTTATAATAGAAATAATTATAAAAGGAAATTCAATTAGTAATGAGGTGAAAATAGAAATATACTTTATAGAGGCCAATGAGTATTACAAATAACGAAAGAAAAAAATAACAATGTAATTTCTGTATTTTGCTTATTATGTGCATTCCAATATTCCAAATAATGGATAATGAAGTCATACCTTGTACCAAACGTACACAATAACTCACTTTAAAAACTCTCAAGCAACTATGATTGGTAGTGTTTCTATAAGCTTTTGTATATAACATATTCAACTAATTTGCCAATATCTTTTCAAATAGCTTCTAACTCAACATTCTCTCTATCATAATCATCTACAAGCATATCAACCGATAGCCTTTTTTTACAACTTCTACATTAGCTTTATATGATTCCATTAGGTCCCTTATAACCATATATGATGCATGACCACATTCCCCTTCTTTATCAATTTATTAGTAACACCTCTACCATGAAGTCTAAAAAAAGCTGCTATAACACTCGCATTTTATAGAGGTTTGTAGTTCTTCATTTATTTCTTCAATTATTTAAGAAAAAAAAAAACTTTAAATGATTTACAATTAACTAGTAGCATAATTAACATAAAATTTGTATATCATCTTAAAATTTTCTTTGCAATGTCACCATATGTAACAACATTGGATCTTTTTTGTGAGAGTCCTTTATGAAAGACCCATACATAATAGTTGTCTACAAATCCGTATCATTTTAAATGATCGGATACTTCATCTCTACGATACCAATAACGGTTTTTACACCGTTTTCAAGGACATAAAATTTTACATCTCCTTTTAGCTTTAGTAAATCAAGCTTTAAGGTAGTCAATAACTTTAGTATCAAACTCAACTCAGGTAAACGCATCCGATCTCTAACATTCTTTATGTCTCCAATGTCCTGAAGTGAATAGCAAATAAATTAACCATAAAAAGTTATGGTATGTATGACAAGTTATGAGGTTTCTATCTGCTAATAATTATGTTTTTATGAATACTACTTGGGGTATGCATATAAATCAAAGCACAAGTTATAAACATGGTAGAATACGATTTTTTTTTTTTGTTATGTAAATTATGAAGGAATTGAAATGTGATATTAATCTGAACACATGTTTGGTGGATGGATTTTATCAAGTTCATATGAAATCAATCTAAATTTCATTATTCATGTTTGATTTAAAAAAAAAACAAATTCATTTTTCTATATCACATATATTGAACTCAACGAAACACATTACCAAAATCAACAACCAAAAATTATAGATATTCATTCTTTGCTCAACTTGCCATAACTTGATCTTTCAAAAAAAATCTTATTTTTGGGGTGGATTGTTCTTAAAATTTGAAGTTAATTTTGGAACATAAAGAGTTTTTATAAAGTGTTTAAATATGACTTACTATATATAAGTTTTTAGTAGATGAACACGTAAAATAAAAGGTTTTAAAAAAACACCAATGAAGGGTATTTGGTGTTTTTTCATAATTTACTTCCAAATGTTTAGAAAGATTTCTATATTGAATTAACAAAGAATCTCATTATGTTTCCTGCCAACCAAATGCACGAGGGATATCAGTTCCATTTCACTCAAATTCCAAATTTTCTACAAATTCGATTCATATAAAAGCCCATGTATGAAGCAAACGCCTCTTAGTGTGAAGAGGGAGAAAGAAATGTAATAATCGGATGGAAACTAAAATTTAGTAACATGTGAAGCAAAGTATATTCTTGAAAGACTTTAGTGTCAAGCTTCATGATATAAATGATTCAACCAAGTCCTAGTAGCGTTGTGCATCCTAGTGAAATATCCAACTGAGTCTTTCAAACTCTATTTTTCGAATCCACAATTTCACGAAAGTGCCTCTTCATCAATAAATTGTAAACAATATAATTTGAGTTCTTGTTTGATCATCATGAAAACAATAAATAAGTTTGTTACATAATGCAAATCACATGCCTCAAATTCACATTAACGAACATAAGCCGATGATCTAATTACCAAATGTTCACGAATTAAATGAACAAACAAGGCATGTGTATTAACTATTAAGTGGAGATTGGAGGTTCTAAATCTAAATGGTACTAACGTATTCTTTTTTCAACTATATTTCTTTATTTGTTGTAAAGTGCATTGATTTATATATAAATTTACAAAAAAAATGGAGTTGCATACAAAAAATGCACTATTATAAATTTACAAATGGAGTAGTAAATATTTATGAAAACCAAACATAATTGAATGATTAAAAATACTATAAACAAACAAAAGTGTGCAAATTATAAATTCTAAAAACCACCAATCAATCCATACATCACCAATAATCTCCACAAGAACACGACCCATCTATAAAAGAATGAAACCGACTATTATCACGTAAAACTATCTCTCTACCCGTAATTTTCGAATACAACTTAATTGCCACATGGCAATCACCACAAACACGCATATTTTTCACTACCCGAATCACTTCACCCGATTTTGTACTAATCAAACCAAACGCAATCGCCAATTTCTCACTATGACACCCTAAAAAATGCTCTTTTTCCTCATCTTCAACATCAAACAACACAAATTCTGTCCTTTCAACATACCCCATTTGCTTCACTTCTCTATTCAACTCACTAAGTTGACCATAAATTCTTTCCGAAATCGGATGAGATGTATCCCCAACACGAAACTCATGAACTACACCATCTACTTCTATCCAACAACATCCGGGAATCTTTCGAATCCCTTTTTCGCGCATTTGAGATCTTATACGCAAAGATTCTTCCCATTTGCGATTAGCCGAAAAGATATTGGACAAAAGCACATAGTTTCCTGAATTCAAAGGCTCTAATTCAATCAACTTTTTCAAAACATGTGCGGCTAATTCGGTATCTTTATGTAACCTACATCCACTCAATAAAGCTCCCCAAACAATCGCGTTAGGCTCCATTGGCATACTTTTGATCAAATCATGAGCTTCGTTTAGTAAACCGGATCTTCCAAGAAGATCAACCATGCATCCGTAATGTTCAATTTCATGATCTAAAGAAAAGAAAGATTTCATATCATAAAAGAATCGTCTCCCATCATCAACAAGACCTGAGTGTGTACACCCACAAAGTACACCAATGAAGGTTTTTCCATCTGGGTGGACCCCTAATTTGTACATTTGACCAAAAAGACTTGATATAACCATGGGTTGACCACTCATTCCAAGACCCGATATTGCAGCATTCCATACAATAACATCTTTTTCCTTCATTTCTTTGAAGACTTTTAAAGCACTATTCATTTTACCACATTTTGCATACATGTCAATTAGAGCTGTGCCTACAATGGGGTTGTGTAAAAACATGTTTTTATCGATTAACCCACGTGCCCATTCGCCTAATTCAAGAGCTCCTAAGCTTGAACAAGCGGAAAGAACTCCAACTATTGTGTAGCAATCTGGTTTTAGGTTATTGTTTTTCATTTTGTAAAAGATGTCTAGGGCTTCTTTTGGTTTGCCATTTGAAGCATAGCCTTGGATCATTGCACCCCAAGTGACTGCATCTTTTTCGAGCATTTGGTCAAATGTAGCATGAGCTTTCTCCATGCTTCCACATTTTGCATAAGTGTCCACTAATGCAGTACCCAAGAACATGTTCTTGGTTATATTAAGTGTGGTTATGCATTCATCTAACCATTCTATGTTTTTCAAATCGCCTAATTGTGAACAAGCTGACAAAATCTTGACTAGGGTAAAACTATCAGGTCTTAAATTCATTGATAATAATCTTTTGAATACATCTAGGGCTTCTGTGAACCTTCTTTCCTCGATATACCCACTAATAATAGCAGTCCATGAAACTGGATTTTTCTCAGGCATTTCATCGAACACCTTGCATGCATCATCCAAACGCCCACACTTTGCATAGAAGCAAACCAAACCGGTTTTAACAAAGGCATCATAATCGTAACCCGCTTTCACCATGATCGTGTGCAGCTCCACACCCAATCTCAAATCCAAAACCCTGGTGCATGCTTTCAAGAGGAAAGGGAAAGTGAAGTAATGGGGTAAGAAACCATTTTGACGCATGGAATAGAAGCATTTGATGGATTCTTGGAAGTGATCACGGGAAACAAGGCCATGGATGAGGGTGTTCCAGACGTAATCGTTGGGTTCTTGGATTTGGTTGAAAAGGAGTCGAGAATAATTTGTGTTGTCGTTGAGATTGAAACTGGACTTTAGGAGGATGTTGAGGAGGTAATTGTCATGGAGGAGATCTAAACGTAGGATGCGAGCATGGACATGTTTGACCTGATTGAAGGAGGTGATAGCTTGAATAAGACGTGCCTTGATCTCGATGGAAACGTTCATAACTATGGCTTTTCCCGCCACCCCACCACCATTGAAAAACTAAGCAATTGAAACTTTGTATGCTTTCTTTCAGTTTGAAGAGAAGACGTTTACCCTAGGTGTGTGTCTGTGTGTGTGTGTGTTTTTTTTTTTAATTTATGCAAAGAAATAAAACTATTATTAATAAAATATAATTTTTATGCAGTTTTATCGATATGATATTAATCCATACAATAAAGTAGAATTCTTTTGACAACTTAGGCATACATAAATTGATTGGTTTTGGAATACTTTGCATAAATTAGTAATAAAAACATCACGACATATTTTAGTAAAATTCACATGTTTTAGAATCTCTTTTTTGGGACTTTTGAGATTGTTGATTCAAAACAATTTTGTTTAAGTGTTTATTAGCTTATGGTATTAAAATGAAATTAAAAAAATAAAAAATATTTGTATACTATCAAAATACAATAAATTAATAATTTCTTTTTTACTGATTCTGTTTATCAAAATGGGGGCAGGGGTAAAAAGGCAAATTGGTATGTGTTTCTGATCATGAAAAACAAAAATGATGCTACGATGCATATGGATGTTTTTAGGGTTAAAACGATGTGGTGTTTATTACTTCCTATGCAAATTTCTTATTATAAACTTTATTAATGTTAACAAACTATTCTATTATTAATAAATTTTATAAATATATATGATACTCAAATGAACCAAAATGGTAATGAGACAAAAATTACTATTTTGCTTGTAACAAAGTGAAAGCAACTTTATCTCAAATTTTCGTATATACAAAAGGCATAAATGCCCTCATCCAAGCAGACAAATAATAAAGTAATTAAAACTCATAACCCTAAAAATTATATCCTCATATAAATTTTGCCTTTAAATCCACAACTATTCAACATATTATCATATTATCCAAAATGTCCGTATACACCTAATAGAATCTACAACCTCAAACATTTCATCAATTGTACATGTACATGTATATTTGAATATGATCGAGTGTGGCATGGCATCTCTCAAAAGGACAAAACAGTCAAATCAAATGTCCCAATTACCACAAACTCCTATTTATTGTGGTAAAAAAAATGATGGTATTTTACTATTAACTACAATTGCATTATATCATGACTCATGACTCATGAGTCACTCCAACTATCGCTGTCATCATCATCATCATCACTTCCAGCAAATGCCTATTAAAAAAATAGCATCATACTTTCATTGATTTGTGTATTATATATAACAATCTACTTTCATGTCTTCCTAATTATAGCAATATTATCGAAATAAAAAACAATTTTCAAAATATAATGTCGTAATAAGAAATTAAATTAAAAGTACAATTTTCAAACCTGGCGAATGGCATTTGCTTTTTCTAAAATTGCAGCTATTCTGACATTGGTGGTGGGGCCTTGAATGTTTGGTCTAGTTTGAGCAGCCGGTTTCAAGTTGTAGGACTAATATAATTAAAGAAAAATCAATATTAAATTAACTGTCATATATGAAAAGACATAAATGCCCTCTTTTGTCATTACCTTTGTCCGTATCTGTTCCAATAGTTTGTCATTTTCCTGTCCCTTTGTTATCTGACTCATCGCAAGAACCTTCCTCAACTGCACATAAGAACAACATAAAATAAATAAAATAAACAAAAATATGTGTTTAATTATAACTAAATTAAACAGGGCGTTACTTTGCTTTTGTCATGAGTAGCAACTGCATCAATGAGAGGATTACGGGGTCGTTGAATTTTCATAGGCCGAATATTATTTGGAATTTCATCTACTGCTTCTTTTGGCGCCAAAATTTCTGTAAATTTGGCTTCTGTTGATGCTGATTTTTTGTCATGATCTTGTGCGTGTAAACTACTGTCATTTTCAAATTTCACATTTTCAGTTTCCGGGTTTTTAATCTCATTGACTTTAAGTTGACCACCATCTGTTGGAGTCAACATAGGGCTTTCAAGCTTTCTCATCCGCCATTGCATGGGTGGAAGTGGCGGCAATGGCGGTGTATCTTCCAGTTTGACCGGAGGTAATTGGTGGTTGACTTGGTCAAACTGGTCAATGTCATGAGAGGGAGAATCTGATTGGGATGAGAATTGAGAGCCTGCGGATGCAAAAAGTAATTGTGGGTCCTCCTTATCTTCCATTTCTGATGTTGGTAACTCCAACATAGGTGGTTTTTCAGTTATAGTCATATGTTGAGAGCCTATATCATTCAAAACAACTGTTTTTTCTCCATTTTCATTGGTTTCTTCTAGAAAAGAATGAGTTGAAAGGGCATTATCGTCATTTCTATCAACATCATCTTCGTCAAGATGAGGAGCAATATTTTTCATTTCCTCCAAGTTAACAGAGTCTTCTTCTCCTTTACCCTCTAATGGTGTATCATCTTCAAGAGTGGGAAGCGCGTTTTCGTCATTTCTAGCATTATTTTCATTCGTATTGACATCAAGTGGGAGAAGAACAACATTCTTTTCCATTTGGGGGTCAACAGAGTCTTCTTCTCTCCCATTTGATTTTGTATCATCTTCAAGCGTCGAAAGGGCTTTATCGTCATTTCTATCAACATCATCAGGGGTAGTCTCTGAGTTAACTAATCCTGTTTCTCTCTCTTTTAATTCTGATCCAATCATAATAATAATATATTAATAATAATCATGATGATAATTGGGGATCATTGCAAGAAATAGCAACATACTTCTGTGATATATTCTCTTCTTATTAGGAAGAAATGAAAGTACATTGCTATTACTTGCTTTTACCCCTAATAATAATAATAATAATAATAATAATAAAATAATAATAATAATTATAATACCTTTTTCATCTTCACTAAAAGATGATACTTTAGCTTCATCATTACCATCTCCTATTTCATTTAACTTCTCTTCATGTAAAGAACATTTCTCACAATTATCTAAAGTCTCTTCAACTACAGAATCATCCTTTGTACTATGATTATCTTCGTTGATTTTGTCGGCTGTTTCCAAGATGTTGGGAGGATGAATCATAGGACCAGAGCCGTCATTAGGATGCTCATGCTCATGCTCTACCTCACCCTCAAAATTCCCGAAAAATTGAAACGACAATAGACTGCCAGCTGGCGAATGAAAGTCTGTTTGATTTTCTTCATTTTTAAGATTTTCATCTTCTTCCAAAACTACCCCTTCATTCACATCATATGAAGAACCGGGAGTCTTCTCCCCCGGTGGAGGAAACAGGATTCCGGTAGATCGCGTCAATTGAGAATCGGAAAATTGAAATTGAAGTCCAGACTCCATTGTACCAAGGGCATCGACGTAATTATCCATCTCACTTGCCACGTCATCAGACCGATAACCATTTTGAACACCATCCGTTTTGATTTCTTCATTGACGTCCGGTGATCCTGAATTTGTAAGATCGGAAATTTTCCGGTCGATTACTTTTCCGGCGAGATTATCTGCCGGAATCCGGCAACCGGTGTTCTCGGCACTCGAAGATACAGATGGACTTCTACTTGGTGTTGCCAAATTAAAAGGTGAGCCAATTGTATCCTTGAATATTTGATTAGGGGAATCGAAAGGCACTGGGATGATTGATGGATGAAAAGGTAGTGGATGGACGATTTTACCCTTGGATGATGGAGATTTTAACAATTTGTTCATGTAACTTTCTGAATCGAATGGAGATTTGTTTGGTCGTTTTTTTAGTTTCACACGATGTGTAGGTTCGATTGTGGTATTATTTTGCATGCGATCCTCCATGAACAATTGATGTAGTCTGCAGTATTGAAACAACAAATAAGTAATAATAAATTAATAATAATAATTTTTTAAGTAGTAAAATTGGATAAATGGATAGGGTGAAAAATGAAAATCATATTAAAATATTAAAATATTAAAATATGTTTCTTACTTGGCCTTGGAATTTGGTGAAATCTCTGGAGTTCCTCCCACTTTACATTGTGATCCTTTCTTCTGTTCAGATTTAATAAAGTTTAAAATGACTGATGAACTTTTTATTCAATGTGATTATAATTTAAAGGTAATAAAAGGTCATTAAAACCCAAATAATATTAAACTCACCTTGTTTTTGCGAATCTTTTTATCCCTTTGAATTTCAGCATTTTCAATTTCATTCAATGATACTTCCACTTTATAAAATGAGGGATCAGTGTAACGTTTTAAGCATGCTCCAGCTCCACCAACATCAAATCTGTTAAAAGCCACATAAGTTTGTAAATTTGAAAAATGGGTTAAATGCAAGAAAAAAAAAGCAATTTTACTTTTCTCTATTTGTTTATTATAGCATCATACTTTCATTCTTTCTATAATAAACAAATAAAGTAAAGTAAATTGCTATTTCTTGCAATTAACCATTGATAGCTTTTAGGAGGCATGTGAAATTATACAAGGGGAGATGAGGGCATACTTGTCTAGAAGAAATAATCGGGGTGGCCCACGACATTCTTCATAAGAATTCATGACAAATCGAGGTAAATCTCCAGTTGTGATAAGATTGGGAGTTGTTTTCAGATTAGGATGCCAATCAACACCTGTAGCATTAATAGAGATCCTCAATGGAATTAGTCATGTGAAGTATAGCCTTTTTTTTCATTTGTGTTGAATTGAAAGATAGAGCAAAATCCTAAAAGATCATATTGAAAGCAGCAGCAGCAGAAGAAGAAGAAGAAGAAGAAGAAGAAGAAGAAGAAGAAGAATATGTGATGTGGCACCTGAATTGGTGAAAAATGCTGAATGGCATGTTTGGGACATAAATGACCTTTGAATTGAAGGGATTTCCAACTCAAGCTGCTGAGCACGTACAAGTAAACCATGGCCTCTTGCAGCAGTTGCTGTCACTTCTTCATGCAACTCTTGGAAAATCTCAGCAGCAAATCTTCAGAATTGGATGCAAGCTTTTTGTTAGACTTGTAGCATAATATCAAATTACATTACATCAAAAGATATGATTCTGTTTTAAAAGCTTTAAAGCATCATCAGGGTTGCAGTTATTTATGGAATACCTACTGTGATATGTCCTTGGGAGTGCAAATGATTGTTGACTCATCATTTAGTTAGGGTTTCCATTGTACATGCTTTTAAAATGTGAAGTTATGAAACAAAAGATACTCATTATCATTCATGGTGAAGTTGCTACCAATCAATCTTGAATCCCCAACCTCCATAATAACCTAAATGTTGATTCAGTTAAGCAACATACAAGCATCCATTAAACTATTACCTGATTTTAATTCCAATAAGGGAGTGTCTGAATGCAATTCTACATCAAAACAGCATGTCAATCACCAAATGTCTCTCATCATTCTCATTCTTAAAAGATACTGAATCCAAAAACACATACATCCTAACTTAGTTATCAAACCTTGAGGTAGATTCCATAACTAAACAATCATAGAACGTGAAATCCTGAAGTTGAGAACTTATATCAGAAGTTGATTTGTTTCGATAGATTAGCAGAATTTCAACCTCCAAGGCATCAATCGATAGATTAGAAGAATTTCAACCTCCAAGGCATCAATCATACGCTCAAATTGTAGTTGATCATTGGTTCGCTAGTTAGCTCAATTATCAAGGCATGAGATCGATATCACAAACTTAATTAGCATTTGAATTGTGGAATTCGTGATTTCGAATTATTATTGAAGCGCATTTAGTTCATCTTCAAACTCAAATTGCCACCCCTGGTTTTGGAGAACATATCAACCCCTCGGAATTGGAGGCAAAATGAGTTCTAAATTCTAATTTCGAGATAATTGCGCTATAATCCAAAATTTAATACCTATAAAATGTAATGCTAACAAATGTAATAATAAACGAAGATGAGGAGGGAAGCAAGTACTGACTCTGCTAGGTCACCGAGCTGACGGAGAACGCCAACGAGACCGGCCATGGCAACACCTTCAAGCAAAGCTTCGGGATCATCTTTATCTGCTGCTTTATAGAGCTCTTGATCAGCCAAACTGTACACATTTCTTATCTGATATCTATCTATCGGCATTTCTTCAGATTTCCAGAAATGAGCTTCGCACAATCTCGATCTCTATCTGCGCACATACATGTATATATCATTATATTGCTCAATTCTTACACTGCATCCCAATGATTAGTCGTTAAAAATGTTTAAATCCAAAAAGAATTTCTAGAGAGAGAATTGGAGAAAGTAGAGTGGAGGGTGTTGAATGAATATACAGCTGAGAGACAGAAAGAGAAAGACGAAAGACGACTTGGTGAAGAAACAAACTGTATTCATTACTCAATGGTGCAGCATCTTCCTTTCCGAGTCCTTCAACTTTTGAGTATTAGCGTATATGGCCCCATCGTATCTTGATTTTGGTGCGGTATTTGAAGATTTGATTGGCATTTCGCAACCAACTTTTGAAGCTTTTGTTTTTATTTTTAATAAATAATAAATAATGCGAATTAAAGAAAAAAAACCTATAAATTTTAAAGAATTTATTTTAAATAAAAATTTATCATCAAAAAAGCTAATTCAAATAGTTTTTAAATCTTTTAAAAACTTTATTTTTTTATTTTTTTTATGTTTTATGCTATGTATATATTTTAAAAGCTTGCAAATATTTTTTTCGAATATTTCTTTACATATAAAAGCTAAAGTTATGACTTCCAACTTTTGATTAGTTTTGCGAAATATATCCTAAATCTTTGTTTATGTATAATTCAATGAAAAAACAAATAAAGCTCCTTAAAAAGAACTAAACTCATATTTATACAATTAAGTTTCGTTTTTATATTATTTATAGAGTAAATTATGTGTTGGCCGTTTGGGAATTATAAGTTATAATATCTTCACTCCACAAAAGTGAAATTTGGCAATTTTGGTCTATAATCCAAAGTATCATTACATTGTTCATCCCGCTCCTAAAAGACCGTCTACATGCTCACGTTAACACCCCATACGTAGAAGTCATATGAGGGCATTTATGTCCTTTTCACCAATTGACTTTACATTAACGCATTTAAGAAGAGTGAAAATTGAGTTTTACTCTCTATCTACAAGCTTCATTGAACATAAATCCTCTCATTTTATAATATTCGTAATTTGGTAAGTATCCTTTTAGCCCCTTAATGCAAAATCCTTTTCATTTTGGTCCCTATCTAGTACTTTATGAGTACGCTTAGCGTACTAGCACTTTTCTGGTCGTGGGCTTCACCCACGTACGTTGAGCGTATGTGGGAGTACGTTGGGCGTATGCAAGGTTTGGGCAAACCCTAATTTTTAGGATTTGTACCCTATTTAAACAACTTAAACCACCTTTAGACATTTTATTAATCAACCTCCATCACCCTATACCCTAAAAACGAAACCCTAAGTGCCTCTTGGGAGTTTTGAGCTTGAAAATGAGATTTTGGTGGTGTTTTAATGAAAGAAGAAGAAGAATAACTCTTGGTGGTTGCTTAGGAGTAGCTTGGGCTTGTAGATCCAGTTTCATCTTCATCATTGTAAGCCATTTGAGGTATACAGTTCTCTACTTGATGGTTCATTATGCTAGATCTAGTTTTCAAACATTGTTTATGAATTTTTGGGTCTTTTGAGCTAAAGTTGAGCTTTTGATCTACTCCAGAAGCCATGGATGTTAGATCTTAGCTCCATGGAGGTCCATTGTTCATAAAAATACAAACTTTATGAAAGATACTAGGCGTAACCTCGCGCGTTGTGCAAGAATGCATTTAAGTGGTTAAAATAATTATGGGAAAAAATAAAAATATGTTGAAATTTACGTTTTTAGTCATTGTTTTGGGCATTAACCGAATTATCAAATAACATAAAAATTCATCAACTTATATTTTGATACTATCTAATATAGTTCATACCTTATAAACTTTACTTTTACTTTTATAATATCCAATATATATTATAAGTTTTTGTATAACATTAATATAATCTAGTTTTCTTATGTCTGATAATATTTTTTGGATAAAATAAGAAATAAGTTGTTTTGAATGAGCTATTAATAAACAATATTGAACTAATAAACTTTGTATTACACTATTTATATTACACAAAAACATCCAAGGTTTCATATATGAACTTTCAAATATTAAACATTGAAATTAAGAATGAAGTCATACAAGATATATCATTATACATAAATGTTATCAAGAGTTTTAAAATAAGTCGATTAGTAAATATGATATTTAATTTTAATTACATATTTTTGCAAGGCGTACGTTTGACTTTATGTTAGTGCGCCGAGAATCCTCTTCCTTAATTTGTACCTAAAAAATTAAGGTGAATACGAATATAAAATAGATATTACTAAGCATTAATATAAATAATTAAAAAGGGTATGTGGATCTCCTACCACCGGTTAAAGACAACATACCTCTCTAGTGGTATCGATTCCTATGTGAAATTGAAGTAGTCATTCTATGTACACCTTGTTTTCTAATTACATAAACAAATATGAGTAACCAAACATAAAAATGTTATCTTTATGTAAGAAAAATATTTTAGTTAACTAACAAATGAAATAATATAAGTTTAAGAGTTAGGAGTTTCAAAACATTAATATTTTTATTAATCAATCAATTAAGTAACACATGTTTAAATTTTTACAATCATTATTAAAAAGCATTTGAAATATTAGATTTTAAATGAATTTTGGTTGAAGTGTTTTGACCTCTATTATATATATATATATATATATATATATATATATATATATATATATATATATATATATATATATGGAAAGTATAACATATGTATGAGTTTTAATTAATTATCTTTTTTGAAACGGTACAAATACAAAACAAAAACAACATATTTAAAACATTTAATTAAATATTTTCGACATCACCCTATATAACATATGATCAATATATTAACAATTAAACCACAATATACAACGACTGTATTACAATAATCCAAAAATGAAGAAAATATAAAAACGAATTAGTATAACAAACTTACAAATTAAAAGCTTTAATATAATATCATATCTCCAAAAGTGGTCATAAGACCTCAACCAAATACAAAAACCTTTAAGTTTGTTTTCTTTCTGAAATTTGTATATGATTTGTATAAATGTCTTCCAAAAAGATTGACCTTTTATAGTAAATTTTTCACTAAATGCTAATTAAACATAATATAAGTTATAAAACTTTTGAGTGTTAAATCATAATTAATAAAACTTTTAAGTTGCATTAGTTAAAAAATGAGGTTTCAAATGAATGTGGTTTGAGGAAGATAAAAAAGAGGGTTTCAAATACATGATATTCAATAAAAAATGCTAGCTTTAACATTAATATAATCTACTTTTCTTATGTCCGATAATATTTTTTAGATAAAATAAGAAATAATTTGTTTTGAATGAGCTATTAATAAACAATATTGAACTAATAAACTTTGTATTACACTATTTATATTACACCAACCATCCAAGGTTTCATATATGAACTTTCAAATATTAAACATTGAAATTAAGAATGAAGTCATACAAAATATATCATTATACATAAATGTCATCAAGAGTTTTAAAATAAATCGATTAGTAAATATAATATTTAATTTTAATTACATATTTTGCAAGGTGTACGTTTGATTTTATGTTGGTGCACCGAGAATCATCTTCCTTAATTTGTACCTAAAAAATTAAGGTGAATACGAATATAAAATAGATATTACTAAGCATTAATATAAATAATTAAAAAGGGTATGTGAATCTCCTACCACTGGTTAAAGACAACATACATTTCTAGTGGTATCGATTCCTATGTGAAATTGAAGTTGTCATTTTATGTACACCTTGTTTTCTAATTACATAAACAAATATGAGTAACCAAACAAAAAAATATTATCTTTATGTAGGAAAAATATATTAGTTAACTAACAAATTAAATAATATAAGTTTAAGAGTTAGGAGTTTCAAAACATTAATATTTTTATTAATCAATCAAATAAGTAACACATGTTGAAATTTTTACAATCATTATTAAAAAGCATTTGAAATATTAGATTTTAAATGAATTTTGGTTGAAGTGTTTTGACCTCTATTATAATATATATATATATATATATATATATATATATATATATATATATACAGAGAGAGAGAGAGAGAGATGAAAAGTATAACATATGTATGAGTTTTAATTAATTATCTTTTTGAAACGGTACAATTACAAAACAAAAACAACATATTTAAAATATTTAATTAAATATTTTCGACATCACCCTATATAACATATGATCAATATATTAACAATTAAACCACAATATACAACGACTGTATTACAATAATCCAAAAACGAAGAAAATATAAAAACGAATTAGTATAACAAACTTACAAATTAAAAGCTCTAATATAATAGCTAGGGTTGTGCATGGGTCGGTTTGGGTCGGTTTTGGACCTAAACCCAACCGAACCCATAAATGTTCGGTTTCTGGTTTTCAGAACCCAATAGGATCAGTTTCTGGTCGGTTTGGTTTCTTGGGTTCTATGGTCGGTTTGGTCGGTTTTTCGGTTTCTTGGGTTCAACCCATACACTCACGGGTTATGGGTTTTAACCCATTTTCCAAAAATGAAGTAAGAAGTTAAATACTTCAAAAACACCAAATTGAAGTTAAATACTTCAAAAAACATGAGTCTTACAATCAAATAGTCTATTACAAGTTATAACAAAATCCCGAAATAGTCTATTATAACCAAAAAACAATCAATTATGAGTCGGTTTCTCGGGTTGGATGGGTCGGTTTCTTGGGACGGTTTGTCGGTTTTAAGTATGGGTCGGTTTCTCGGGTTGGATGGGTCGGTTTCTGGGTAAAAACCGAAACCGAACCCGACTTTTTGGTTTTTAAAAAATTCAAACCCTAACCGTCGGTTTTGCTTCGGTTTCGGTTTTTTCGGTTTCAGTTTCGTCGGTTTTAGTCGGTTTCTCGGTTTCTTGGTTTGGGTTTGCTCACCCCTAATAATAGCATATCTCCAAAAGTGGTCATAAGACCTCAACCAAACACAAAAACCTTTTAAGTTTGTTTTCTCTTTGAAATTTGTATATGATTTGTATGCATGTCTTCCCAAAAGATTGACCTTTTTATAGTAAACTTTTCACTAAATGCTAATTAAACATAATATAAGTTATAAAACTTTTGAGTGTTAAATCATAATTAAGAAAACTTTTGAGTTGCATTAGTTAAAAAGGGGGGTTTCAAATGAATGTGGTTTGAGGAAGTTAAAAAAGGGGGT